ATGGAGCGAGCGAGGGATGTAGGAGATGGCAGGAAGGAATTGTGGAATGAATGGATGGACAAGTACGGTGGGAGATTTGACCTTAGGAAGCGATGAAAATATTAAGGAAGGGATGGAGGTAAGGAGGAACGTGTGAAAGGAGGGGAGAAGTTATGGAAGGAGGGATGTGTGAAGCAAGGGATGTAGGGAGTGAGTGATGGGTGAAGGAATGGATGGAAGGATGAATGTTTGAATGGAGGAATGAATGATGGAGGGAAGGAGGGAGGCGTCAAAGCGACTCGGTCTGCAGGGACCACGGAGACGTCTCCACGCTCACAGGCGGGCTCACAATCGTGACACTCGTGAACAACAAAATAACGGTGCAATATAAGTGCTTGTCGAGCTTTCGGAACGTGCAAAGTGTGTTTATTCACATTTTGGTCAAATTAAATAAAAAAGGTTGTCTGTGTGGAGGATGCGGGCATCGATCCCGCTACCTCTCGCATGCTAAGCGAGCGCTCTACCATTTGAGCTAATCCCCCAGACACGAAAGAAGAGCTCGTGGGGGCCTCTCCCTTCTCATTCTGCTCACCACGTGTACACAGAACCACGTGTACACAGAACCACGTGTACACAGAACCACGTGTACACAGAACCACGTGTACACAGAACCACGTGTACACAGAACCACGTGTACACAGAACCACGTGTACACAGAACCACGTGTACACAGAACCACGTGTACACAGAACCACGTGGCGAGCCCGGGGCGAGATCTCAACTCGGAGTCGCAGAGCTCTCAATGGGGGGGATGGGGGTGGGGACGAGTTTGGTGGGAGAGAGGAAGGGACTGAACAACTGTGAGCAAAAAGCTGCATAGCTCATCGGATTCCACAGCTTGTGGTTCCAGTCGAAATGAAGGGAAGGGTAGATGGAAGCAGGGTTGGAGGAATTACATTTTTGAAAAAAAAAGTCATTCTAGATTTGAAGCTTTCGTGACTGCAAGGATTCATACTCTTAGGTTTTTTCAGTAAATTTACGTAGGGAAAAATAAATAATAAAAGTAAAAATAATATAACTAATAATAGAAATAAAATTATAAATCACGACGTTTCGGAGGCAACACAAGTCTCCGTCATCAGGTGGGACCGTCACAGCCAGATTTACCGTAATTTTGCGTTGCTGCTACGTATTTCTGGAATCCCCTTTCAGCTCAATTCCCTCCCTTCTCTCCCCCCGCTTGACTGCCACATTTAATCAACAACACAGAGCCTACGTGTACATGCGCCTCACCTTTTGTGGTGCATCTTGCGCTCATTTTATTTGCACTCAATGTTGATCCGCATGTTGCCTTTAAGAACGCTTAAGCACCGCATTTGTGAGCCGTGCAACTTTCTCATAGCTGTCGATCCATAGGGGTTACCCCCAGTGGCGGTTCGTGTCCACTAGGTGGGGCTGTTGTTAGTGACATCTGTGGTGTTCTAATGAAGAAAAACCTCGTCATGTTGGCCTTCCCGTGAAAGTGTAAAAGCCGACTTATCTACCAACGGTAGGCATTTATAAACACTACGAAACATAACAACAAAGCACTCAAATGCTGTCCCCGTGACCCTCAAGTCCACACGACGCAATCCCTTTGACACTGCCGAAAGCCGTGAGCTGCTGCTGCTCGATTTGCCCAGCGCCACCTCGCGTCGTGACATCGCAGACGCCGCCGCCTTGCCCACCGCCCTGAATGGGTGCCTCGCTCTCTATCTCAGAATGGGAATCTTTATTCAGACCGGAGGAATCCGATGAGCTATGAAGCTCTTTTTCACAGACGTCCAGGGCAAAGAACGAGAGGAGTTCAAAATATAGACGTGGTATTAAAGCAAGCCACTGAAAATATATGAATATAAATATAATAAAGTATGTAAGTACAAATTGCATAGGTACATACATGCCATCTTAAAATAGAAACCCAATGCAGCTGCAGGCAGGACTCCCCTGAAAAGAAGCCAGTGGCTCTCGGGGCAATCAGCAACAGCAAGGAGGTTGACCCATTGACCGGCGCGTGTGAATAGAGGGCACGGGAGGGAGGCCCCTTCACGTCTGGGGGATTAGCTCAGATGGTAGAGCGCTCGCTTAGCATGCGAGAGGTAGCGGGATCGATGCCCGCATCCTCCACACAGACAAGATTTTTCCAAAAGGAAACCACGTTTTTACATTCACGAGCAGAAAATCCATTGCGCTTAAAGTAAAAAAAAATTATGCAATGATAACATGCCAAGGCAATATGTATTGTGATTATTTCAATGGCAACGACCCGTAGCGACTACTAACAACAACAAAGTTATCCATCAGCCAGCCATCAAACCAGATGAGGTATAGATTTGTTTTAATAGTACTGTAGTAGTAATGGTATAATGGTTTATTTTATTCAGCTACTCATAAAATGTGTGTGCTTGTAAGCTCACCTGTTAAAAAGCAGGAATAAATACATAATCAGACAGTTCGCCTAATTCACATGTCTGTCCATTCACGAATCCCATTACCCCCACCCCCATCCCTCTACTCCTCCACAATCACTCCACAATCCCTCCACCGCCCCATCAATCAACCCCCCCCCCCAATCCCTCCACTCCCCCCCTCATCCCTCCACTCCCCCCCAAACCCTCCACTCCCCCCCAATCACCCCCCTCCCCCCCATTCATCCACTCCCCCTCCATCCCTCCACATCCCTCCAATCCTCCCCCCAATCCCTCCACTCCCCTCCAATCCCCCCCCCATCCACTCCCCCTCCACTACCCCCAATCCCCCCCCATCCAGCCTCTCCCCCTCCACAGGTTTGGCTGAGAGCGACCGCGTGTCAAGAAGAAGGAGACAGAGGCCCCACGCGCCCCTCTCTCGTGTCTGGGGGATTAGCTCAGATGGTAGAGCGCTCGCTTAGCATGCGAGAGGTAGCGGGATCGATGCCCGCATCCTCCACAGGCGAATTTTTTTTTACATTCAAATAGAAAACGTTACGCACAAATGGTTGTTCTCGTTACATTTTCACATTTGGTGAGTTCATTAGGCAATGCACTCACCTCTTGTCGCCCGCGTTTTTTTATTGGGATTCCTGTTTTTTTTTAAATAAGTATTTTTGATTGAAATTTGCCGCTGGAGTGGCTTGCTGTGCGTGAAAGCGCCCGGCTCTGGGCGATAGGCGGCGCTCGAGTGAACGCGAGAGGGGTGGGAGCTGAGATCTCGCCCCGAGCCTCGCCACGTGGTTCTGTGAACGAGCGGCGAGCAGAAGGAGAAGGCGCCACGCGCACATCGCTTCACGTGCGGGGGATTAGCTCAGATGGTAGAGCGCTCGCTTAGCATGCGAGAGGTAGCGGGATCGATGCCCGCATCCTCCACATTGTGTTTTTTATTCTGTACTCGATATAAAAATATAGGGACAATTTATTTTCACACATTTTGAAAGCTCGACAAATACGCGTGTTGCATTATGAGCAGAATGTAGCCTGAAAAAAAGCAATTCCGAAGTTGATTTTCCAAGTAAAGACCATTGGGGTAAGAATATTTTTTAAAAGTCTCCTGTTTAACTAATGTGTGATTTGAAGAACGTCCATTGGCCCTAAATGTCGCCTATGACGTCATTCCTTGTAAGGCCACAGCGTTATTATTGTTGACTCGGAATGTGTTGAATTGTTTAGTGATTGTCTGTGTTTATGCACCATTGTCCATGGAGGCACACTCACAGCGATTGGTATACTGGACGTTGTGTGCCGCGTGCGTGAGTGTTTCCCCCATCACCGACTCTGACAAAACTCGGCTGAAATGAGGCCGTGACCATAACCCTCGTACGGTCCATGAGAACTGTTTACAAACAACTTGATATCGACGTGAACTCCCGTCGAGACAGAGAGACAGAGAGGGGTGACGACTTGGAAGCGCCAGGAGGAACCACAGACGAGGAGTGGGAAGGCAGCAGCAGCAGCCACGCGGTGATGACACCAACAATTGTCCCCCAAGCTCTGCGATCCTCGATATACGAAGGCGTTATCGGTCAAATGATGAGAGTTTACACGTGTGGGAGGGAGCCAGAGCACCCGGAGAGAAAACCCACGTGCGCGAGCGAGGGGGCAACGCTCTATCCCCCACGTACAGATGGAACAGATGGATATTAGTCCACACTTCGCTGTGCCGCCTTCTGCTGGCGAGCCAGGGTGCGGCTCCTTCTCCTCTATGCCCACCCACGTGGTAGGAAGGGAGTTCCACAGCGACATCTGTGTGGAGGCATATTCTTAGGTTTTTTCGGTAAAGTCACGTAGGTAAAACATCAAAATTAATGAAAATAAAACAAAAAATCACGACGTTTCGGAGGCAACACAAGTCTCCGTCATCAGGTGGGACCGTCACAGCCGAATTAGCTGCATCCCACCTGATGACGGAGACTTGTGTTGCCTCCGAAACGTCGTGATTTTTTGTTTTATTTTTTCATTAATTTTGATGTTTTACCTACGTGACTTTACCGGAAAAAAACCTAAGAATATGATTCCTTGCAGTCACGAAAGCTTCAAATCTAGAATCTGTGTGGAGGCAGCCACTCGCAGCAGCAGCAGCAGCGTAGCCACCATAGAAAGCCACAGATCCCGCCTGTAGCCCGAACAGACTGCTGGGGCAAGTGCGGTTAGCGAGTAGCACCGATGAAGGCCGGAACGGCACACGAAGGGATGGATGGCCATCACCATGGGTGGTGATGGTGATGGGAGTGGCAGGGAGGAGGAGGCGGTTTAAGTTGGTCCCTGGGAGCGTTGAGAGTCACGTGGGGCCTGTGGCGCAATGGATAACGCGTCTGACTACGGATCAGAAGATTGTAGGTTCGACTCCTGCCAGGCTCGCATATTTTTTATATACATTTTTTAAATATACACTGTGTTTCATTAAAAAAAAACTTAATGAAGCACTCATTTAAATTAAGCCTGATTTTGTCCTAGTTTTTTTCCCTATCTAGATGTATGATTAACGCGTTGTTGTCATACGCTCTGAAAATGGTTCTTTCCCGAAACGTCGCCGATTATATTTTTCCATTTCAAGCCGTACAGCGTGATTGACGAATGTGTTAACTTTGTTGTACAGTACTGTCAGTACAGTAGTGTAATTTAAACGTGCGTGGTACGGCCCCGAGAGGAGACGGAGCTGAGTGGAGCTGTCTGGACCAGCGGTGTCGAGGTCGGCCTCTGTGGAGGAGGAGGCTCGTCAAGGAGGCTACAGGGCAGTGCCAGGCTAGGTTCACTGCGAGGCTACTGGGCAGTTGGAGGCAGTCGCCCTCCAACAACAACGGAGGGCGGAGGAGCGACGCTCACAACAACGAGCGGATCGCCGGTGGCTAAAGCATAGCAAGTTGGCACAGTAGGGGGCACAGGTGGTGCATCAGCCAGTCATCTCGGTCATCTCGGTCAGTCGACCCGTGGCACCTGCTGGGTCTGCCCCGTGACCTGCCAGCGGGCCATCGACACTTCACGTGGCCTCAAGGTGCACCTAGCCTGGCACAAGCGTCGTGGTGACGTCGTGGCGAATGGCGGTTGTTGCATCAGCTCAGTCGGTCCACCCATGGGCAACCTGGACCTGTTCTGTAACCTCCTGTCAACACGTCACGTCACCCCAACGCGCACCTAGCCTGGCACAAGCGCCGCGGTGACGTCACCGCCACGTGGTGGTGAACGGCGCCTGTAGTGGTGTTGTAGTTGTTGTGGTTGCTGTGTGGTTGGGGTTGTGGTAGTTGTAGTGGTTGTTGTAGTTGTGGTTGTAGTTGTTGTGGTTGCTGTGAGGTTGGGGTTGTGGTTGTTGTGGTTGTTGTTGTGGTTGTTGTGGTTGTGGCTGTGAGGTTGGGGTCGTGGTTGACGTTACAAGCGCTGGTGCGGCAGCGACTCCCGGCGCCTTCGATAGCTCAGTTGGTAGAGCGGAGGACTGTAGAGGAGACGCCGCCACCTGCAGCATGCTGCTGCTGCTGCCGCTGTGAGCGCAGCGCGCGGTCATCCTTAGGTCGCTGGTTCGACTCCGGCTCGAAGGACGATTTTTTTTTTGTTACATCGCGAAAACATATACACGTGTCGTTAAACCCGCCACCACCCGACACAGCCAATTAGTAAGGTTCGTCACGTAAACAGAACGTGGCCAGTTCGTTACTATCACATCACACAACCGCTTGTGTGTTGGAGAGCAAATCCACAAACACGACCCGTCCCGTAGCCGCACGCCACGGGTGGCGATGCCCTCTTCTGTAATGCCCCACGAAGCCCCGCAGTGTCTCAATGTAGAACAGCGCGTTGTGCTGCTACGAATGTTGTTGCCGTTGTTGCTGTTGTTATGTAACCACCACCACCGCCTGCGCCACTCGCTGACACTGGGGCCCCGTCAATGCCGGCGGCCTCTGGTTTGAGTGAAGACAGCGCCACCTCGCGGAGAGCCCCTCGCACCGCTCCGAGCGAGGCCACCGCCTCCCCACCCCCCACACCCCCCACATTCCCCCTCTCCATCCTGCACAGCCTGCCCCTCCTGCCTCTTCCTCCTCCTCCTGCTGCTGCTGCCTCTTCCCTGTGTGCTGCCTGCCTCCTGCGTGCGTTTGTAACGGCAGTCGCATCGCCATCTCCCCAACCATCAACCATTACCACAGCCATCACCACCATCATCATCATCACCATCATCGTCGTCGTCGTCGTCTCTACCAGCCGTCAGCGGTGACATCGCAGCCTTCGCTCGAAGCTTCGGGTCGGCAAGGACAAGCGACGTATCTGTGAGTACAGCGGTGTGTGTGGGGTGTGTGTGTGGGGTGTGTGTGTGGGGTGTGTGTGGGGTGTGTGTGGGGTGTGTGTGGGGTGTGTGTGGGGTGTGTGTGGGGTGTGTGTGGGGTGTGTGTGGGGTGTGTGTGGGGTGTGGGGTGTGTGTGGGGTGTGTTGTGTGTGGTGTGTGTGGTGTGTGTGGGGTGTGTGTGTGGGGTGTGTGTGGGGTGTGTGTGTGGGGTGTGTGTGGGGTGTGTTGTGTGGGGTGTGTGTGTTGTGTGTGTGATGTGTGTTGTGTGGGTGTGTGTGATGTGTGTTGTGTGGGGTGTGTGTGTTGTGTGTGATGTGTGTGTGTGGGGTGTGTGTGTGATGTGTGTGTGTTGTGTGTGTGTTGTGTGGGATGTGTGTGTTGTGTGTGATGTGGTGCACACACATGCACACGTGCGTGTGCATGTGTGTGCATGTGTGTGGCACGATGACACACACACGTGTACTGCCACACACACACGTGTGTACTGACACACACGTGTACTAACACACATACACGTGTATTGATACACACGTGTACTGACACACACACACGTGTACTGACACACACGTAGATTGCATGTGAGATGCATGCAGGGTTTTTGTGGATTGACCAGTCACTCAGCCACGCATGCACAAAGGAATACATTAGTGCTGGCGATGATTGTTGTGGCGGATTGTTGGGGATGGGTGGGGTGATGGCGACCCGCCCATCACACACGTACACACGTACACACACACGTACACACGCACACACGCACTCACATCGCATGTTACATGTTACGTGACACTGCGTGATGCATCACCCATCTCGCACCGTGCCGTCACATCGCCTGTTACCGCACGACTAACACCATCTACCACTCCACCACCACACCATCTACCACTCCACCACCACACCATCCACCACTACCACACCATACACCACACCACCACACCATACACCACACCATCCATCACACCATCCATCACACCACCACCACACCATCCACCACCACCACACCACCACATCATACACCACCACCACCACACCATCACACCACCACCACACCATCACACCACCACCACCACCACACCACCACACCATCCACCACCACACCATCCACCACACACCACTCACCACATATCACTCACCACATCCACTCACCACACACCACACATCACCAACTACATCACCAACCTCCCATCATCCACCCACGTGATGACCACTACGCCAACGCAATCCACGTCGCCTGATGCGTCTCGTCCACTCACGCGCCCCCCTTGCCCCCCCCCATCCCAAATTACTGGGGTCATTTGAGCCCCCCTCGCTCGTGAGGCATCTCCATCAGGGGCCTCACCCCCTCCCCCCTTCATCCCCTCGCCCCCCGCGCGGGTCCCCGTGTCCCTGTTTAGCGGTGTGGATCCAAATAGCCCGAGACGCGCCGCCGCCTCCTCCTCCTGCAGCAGCAGCAGTAGTAGCAGCAGCTCCATCCTGGAGATCAGATGGCGAGTGCGGGGGAGGGGATGGGGGAGGCGAAGGGGGCCTGGGAGCGTGGCCAGGGGTCTGGGTGGGACGCTGAGGGGGTTGCTGAACTGTTGGGGGGGGGGGCAGTCCCCTTTAGCTGCACTGTGTAGATGGGGTTGCGTGTGTGTGTGTCAGGGGGTCTCTGTGTGTGTCAGGGGGGTCTCTGTGTGTGTCAGGGGGGTCTCTGTGTGTGTCAGGGGGTCTCTGTGTGTGTGTGTGTCAGGGGGTGTCTGTGTGTGTGTCAGGGGGTGTCTGTGTGTGTGTCAGGGGTCTCTGTGTGTGTCAGGGGGTCTCTGTGTGTGTGTGTGTGTCAGGGGGTGTCTGTGTGTGTGTCAGGGGTCTATGTGTGTGTGTCAGGGGTGTCTCTGTGTGTGTCAAGGGTCTGTGTGTGTGTGGGAGGGGGTCTTTGTGTCTCTGTGAGAGGGGTCTCTGTGTGTGTGTCAGGGGGTGTCTCTGTGTGTGTCAGGGGGTCTCTGTGAGGGGGGTCTGTGAGGGGTCTGTGTGTGTGTGTCAGGGGGGTCTCTGTGTGTGTCAGGGGGGGTCTCTGTGTGTGCGAGGGGGTCTCTGTGTGTGTGAGGGGGTCTCTGTGAGGGGGGTCTGTAAGGGGTCTCTGTGTGTGTGTCAGGGGGGTCTCTGTGTGTGTCAGGGGGGGTCTCTGTGTGTGTGGGAGGGGGTCTCTGTGTGTGTCAGGGGTGTCTCTGTGTGTGTGAGAGGGTCTCTGTGAGAGGGGTCTGTGTGTGTGTGAGGGGTCTCTGTGTGTCAGGGGGGGTCTCTGTGTGTGTGGGAGGGGGTCTCTGTGTGTGTGTCAGCGGGTGTCTGTGTGTGTGTCAGGGGGGGTCTCTGTGTGTGCGAGGGGGTCTCTGTGAGGGGGGTCTATGAGGGGGTCTCTGTGTGTGTGTCAGGGGGTGTCTCTGTGTGTGTGTCCGGGGGTCTCTGTGAGGGGTCTCTGAGGTACAGGGGACATCATCTCGGTGCCCACAGCGTGACGTTGTTAGCGCGACAGCCCAACTCTGACCTCTGACCTCTTCATCGTCTTCCACGATGGTGGGGGTCCCATCTCACGTGATTTCACGACCATTATTATTGTTATTATTATTACTGCTACGATTGTTCCGCTTGTTTATCCAGACAAATCATCACCCATTCTCAAGACTCATCCTCAGGAGGGTCCCGCCGAGTTTTCGCAGCGACAGGGAGGGCTGGCGTGCGAGATGAGTCCCTGTCCACCATCCCCACTTGAGGTCATTCGCCGTGTAACTGTTCACGTGTGGACCCGGCACACGATGGCACTGCTCTTGCGAGTGTCGTCATGGGGATCTTCAGCGAAGGTCCCAACTGTGAGGCAGACGGAACGAGGCAGTGGTCGTGATACCTCCGTCGTGGCTGTGTTCTGCCGTGCGTGAGCAATGCCCCATTTGTCTCCCCGCGCGGTCTGCACGCACAATGCCTGCGAGTGACTCCGACTCCTCTCCTCCCTCGCCTCATGGCGTCTCTCCAGCCTCACGCCACCGTTAGTCAATCTCACCCGGGGGTGATTGATGGGACGCGTTATAAGAAAATTACTTTTAGATGTTTTCTTTTTACGTGGAGGGGCATGTGTAGGAAGGAGACGTGGTCTGATTTGTTTTCCTCTTACGTTCTGCACAGCGACATCAATGGTTATTTTGTGTTACGTTTCGTATAATTTTGCCTTGCACCAGGACCCGTAACTAACAGAGGGGGCCCTTGCATGGCAAACAGTCTGGCAGTCCCACCAGCATTGGCTCAAGCAAGCGTGCCACTGCTGATGAGTCACTGACTGTTGAAACCGTGATGAAGAACCAATGCTGCTGGCAATCATTCCACTCCCAGAAAGGAAGGCCGCGTGGCTGATGGGATGTGTGAAAAAAAAGTTTATTTTTACAACGTGGAGCGATCTACACTCATGGGAAATGCTTACAGTCAGCCCTCGTTTCACGAGGTAGAAAGTGCGGCATTAAGCGAAAACAATTAACCCCATAAATAATATAATGATAGAGCTTGGCGAGATGCGATGCACCACTACGCACGCCACTCGGTGAGATGGCGGGGCAAACCACTGAGGCTACGCCGCCGCATTACTGTATCATTCCATGTACTGTATCACTGCACTGCTCAGCCACGCAGCCCAAGAAAGTAGTTCGTCGTCGCCCGCTCAGCAACCGCGTTATGACGGTGCTCGTTCCGCGTTGTAACGGGAGAACCGCCTTATAGCGAAATGGAAGAACTGCGCTGTAGCCGAAAAAGCGTTGTAGTGTGTTACACGAGGACTTAACCACGCTTGTATATTTTACCACCAGCCGTGCACCTTGACAGCTCCCGTGGCTATAAATACGGCGGCCAGCGGAACCCAAGCGCCGCGTCACCACGGCGGCTAACTCCCACGCAGGGCCTCTCCCGTTTTAAACCCTGACCCCTGGGGGTCACGGGCCCGCAGCGTCTCCGCTGGAGCGCCGCTGCCCGGATGTTTTTGGCTAAGTGTTGAATTCGTTTGCCACAGTGGCGAGATGTTAACTGCCTCGCCAGGTATGCAGGAGATCGTAGGGTTCGATCCCAACCCTGACGCCTGCTGTGTATTTGGAGTTTGTATGTATCTCTCTCTTCCCGTGGTCGCATGGATTTTTCTCCAGGTCCTCCGGGTTTTCCATCCGCAAACACGCATTTAGAGTATTTGGCTGCTATACTATTTCCACGTGATGATCTACGTTGTTGAGCTATCATTTGTGGCCAGCTCACTTCTGAAAAAGAGCTATACAGCTCAGTGGACCTTACCTGGTATAAAAAAAAGTTTTTTACTTTTTAGTTTGAGCGAGGCGCACCGGTACGATCCAGGCCTCTCGTCTGTCGCGAGTGAAGCAAAACGTACCTAGTATTTTTTGTTTACGGTCAATAAACACCGCTCAATTAACGAGGGCGGCCGCGTGGATTTTAACTGCGAACCTCTTCAGAAAATGGCAAATGAACGTACCCCGGCTTGGCCCTGTGACTGCCCCCCTCCGACAGGGTCGTGGTGAAGCATCGCGCTTGTCCCCTGATCCTCCCTTCCTGTAGGGAATCGAGTGTTGCCCCCTCGCATGCGTGGGTTTTCTCCGGTGCACCCCGGTTTTACTCTCTTTATTAATCGGCTGAAAATATCTCTAAATATAGAGGACGGCAGAGTTTGGGCCAATGTTTGGAGTGCCGGCTCCTCACCGCCTGGCTGCTGCTGTTACCTTCCCGCTAGTGCCTGGGGATCCTCGGCGATTGCGAGTGATGCTTTGTGCACGAACGGCGAAGCTATAGATTCAACTGAACATTATTATGGAGATCCATAGATGCCCATAGAGACTCAGAGATCCGTAGGTACTAATAAAGACCCATAGAGACTTATAGAGATCCATGGAGACCCATAGAGATTGAGAGTTCCATAGAGACTAATATAGACCCATAGAAACGTATATAGGTCTATAGAGACTCATAGAG